TCGGACCTTAAGGTCACCATTCCTTCGGCTAATGCCCCTGGCATCACCTTCCTCCTTGACTTCAAACACCCTGGCTACGCTCCTAGACCATGTACCAATAAGCACCAATAATGCAGAAAAATGAAAACCAAAACAGATGGGCTCCAATAGAGGTGGGGATTACTCAGCCCTATCCAGGGCTCTATCTACACCCCTGGGCGCTGAGATGTGAATCCCGAGCTGTTTTTTTCTCAGCATAAAACAAAGGCAGGAGGTGAATAAAACAGTTGCAGCAATATGTTTACGTGTGCCAGAAATGTTTATGGCAAGGTTCCAATAATTTCTCTTTAGATGTGAGAGGATAGGACTGGATTTTCACTGAACCCTCCTTCGAATTGTGGCTTTTGTATTTTATTTTAAAGTCTTACATACTACAAATATGCTGACCTCTATGAACACTGTTCACATATCTATGGCACGCAGTTTATGGTGCTACAGTACACTAGTTGGTTACAGTGAAACCAAGAAGTACTGTATGTTGGACATGTAACTTGCATATAATGTGTCATACAGAGGCACCAATGTCTTGCGCCGCTGACTGACACAACAGGGCAACACACTGCTGTGAGGGCATGCTCGGAGGTTTGGCTATGACCTCTCACTCTGGTAAAAAAAACCCACACTATAGCCTTTTATTTGATTATGCACAAGCCCTCAAGGCTCAAAGAATATGTGTCAGACGCTGCTTAAAAGTCTCCCTGAACAATTAACCACACGCCATGGAAAATGCCCAACAAAAACACCCCCAAAACCTCCCCCAACCGTCTCAACTGGGGACTCGCTGTGAACTCCTGCGAACCCTGGGAAATCATGAGAAGAAATCTAGACAGTGCTAAAACCCACAAACGTCTGAGTGTCTTTGGCCTGGCAAAGCAACAATTAATTGGATTTGGTTGGAAAGAAAATGTAACTGTGACGCTCAGAAATGACAACTGGGAATGCCAATTAGAAGAACAGTAAATTTTAAACAATGGGCATTTCAAAATAAAATTGAAAAAAAAAATGGTTTGAATGAGCCCCTCCCTGACTGAGTGAGTGCGATGAAGTAAGGGTTGGATGTGCGGCCCTGTTGTTCACTCTTCAGCTACTGTCTCGGGTCACGTTGTGCTTTTATGGGGCAGCTGGTCAGAAACTTGCTTTAAATTACCCCGAATAACAAATCGAGCTCCATGTGTTTTTGATGGGCCGGGAAAGAAAAGCTAACAGTTAAGGAGACTAAATGAACCACAAACGTCCAATTACGTCTCAGGTAGAAAATTTCAGGATTTTGGTTATCTAATGAAAATATTGTCACTAGACTCATTTCCTACGTGGTGCCAGAAAGGTAGAAGAGAAAATGTGTTAACAGTATACTGAGGGTTGACTCTTTAACTCTTGGTGAGTTTGTGTCTCCAGCTCAGGTTTCAGGGTGACTGTTTTTATATCGGGGCCACGCTTACCTCAACCTCTGACGGTCTCTTTTGGCCAATTCACACCCAAGTGCCAGTGAACAAGCAGTGACGTGGATTATGTTTGCTCATTACCGTGACTTTTTTGGCAAACGAAAAGTAAAACTGTAGGGAGATAGTTGATGAAACACATGTATTTGCTTGTGTTTTTGTTTTTAAGTCTAGTCTACTCCACACCTGGAGGAGATTGGATAGAGTAGACATTTATATTATAAAGATTATGACAGTTTATGACAGGAAAGAGTTTTATCATAGGAAATAATAAAAAATGGAAGCTATCCCTTTCCTTTGTTTGAGCTAGATTAGAATTTAAATTCAGTCAAGATAAGCTAACAGGGTAGTGGCGACAGCTACATGTTTACCATCCAGGCATATTGCCTTCTAAATCTTGACAGGAGAGAGTGCCGTGATGAAAGCACATCACCACAATTTAGCTAAATGATTATTTTCAGAAGTTATTCAACAAGACCAATCTAGTTCTAAACCAAAATTCAGGACATTCTGGACAAACATGTTGAATGGTTGATTTTGGGTTTTTTTTCCAAAAAGGAGAATTAGACAGAACACTGGTTCATCCCTTAAGTTAAGTCTCTTTTGAATGTTTCACAGGTCTGAAAATGAGTGAAAAAGCAGCCAATGTTCAAAATATGTCGTAGGATTTATGGTTTTTGAGGTTTACTCTCATCTTTTCCACTACAATGTCAGCAGTAGGACCTTCTGTCCTCCTCCACACCTAAACACCTTTCTGTAAGCTCACCTGGCCTGGCCTGAAAGGAGAGCGCTTGAACCAACTGTACCGTGGCCCCCGTGCAAACACAGTGTGTGCGTAACAGCCTCATTCATGTTTACTGTAAGTGGAAGTCTTTGTCATGTCTGTTTACTCAGTCTTTCACATCTTTCACACTTGAATCCACATATATATTAGAAACCTGACGCTAACATGTTCGTTGTTCTCATTAAACCTGAAAACAGACACACACTAAGTCAAGCAGACAGTCGCAAACAGACGCACACACTGTTCAGCCTGACAGTTTATCATGTTTGCTATGCTTTAGTTTATCTGCTGCATGGCAACTTAAGCTGACCGTGCCTTTTATTCACAGCTGGGTTTGAGGAATATTTGGGGTGTTTTAAAACCAAAATCTCACCCGTCCAATGAGTACCCAGTCTAAGACTAAGATGATGTCACTGTAGGGCGTTTCCTCCTTGTGGAATGACAAGCGAAGATAAATGGCAGTGTAACAAGTCCAACACCTGGCTGTCAGATTGAAGACAAGATAGCCATCGACAGTAAATGTTATATATAGGTAGATGGAGGGAAGATAGTGCAGTCATCTTCTGTTATGTTCTAGCTAGTTACATTTTGCGAAGCATACCGAGACACAATAAGACACAAGATCATGCGTGTGTTGATTAATCTGTTTGGTCACATGACTAAACAGACTGTGGGTGGAAGACTGCCTGGCAGCACTGAGAACTGTCGGTGAGATGAAGGAGCACCCAGATGGTACTTCCAAGCAACCGCCCGACAGCCCTGAGGTTATAGGTGGGGTTTGCGCTGTAGTCGTGCAGCTGTACTGGTATGTCACCTGAACTTTTCTCCGACCTCACCCTCAGCCCACATAGGTGTTTATGCCTTAACGTCCGCATTCTCTTACAGACAAGTCATAAACTGGAATGTTTTCATGCTTACTCAGGTCTGCTACTGATGTTGGACAAATTAGCTAGGTTACAGTTGAGTTGTAAATGTAGTCAATGAGTTGTAAAGGACTTACATAAGTTCTAACTAATGCCAGTGTTATAAAATGTTCACAAAAAAACTCTAACACGCTAATGTAAAGTAGTTATCTTTACTGTTTTCACAATTTTAGTACATTATAATGTTTACTAAATACAGAAGCATTTAAATTAAGTATTGGTGCTAAAAGAAAAGTCAAGTGACCACCAGTTTTATTAGGATTGAACTTTTTGGGACCAATAATGTCTATTATTTTTCGAGAACCATTGATAATGCTGCTAAAAATTAAAGATGAATTTAATGAATTGTGCATAAAGGCCATTAACTGAAGTAGCTCACACGTGCTGAGAATAGTGTGAATATAGAGTACTGTTCTCACAGAACTGAAAAACTAAGGATATGTAGCACAGAGTTATAAGCTAAGGCTAGCTAGCTTGGTCAGCTAGATGTTTTCCTTGGGATACACAGATACCTACACATTAGTGAAAGTAACAAACATATGATATACAGATACTGCACTAACTCTCCATACTTGCTCCACTGTGGTATTATTATTATGATTATTATTATT